TCAAGGCCAGCCTGGTCTACATAGTTCCAGGCCAGCTGGGGCTACAGGGAGACCCTGTCTCAAAAAAAAAAAAAAAAAAAAGAAAAAAGAAGTCTTTTACAGAGAAATAGCACCTTTGGTAAAAACATATTTTAAAGTTTTGGTTAGATCTCCACAGAGCTTGAAGTACATTAAGTATCTGCATCATTTAAGTGTGTCCTCCCAGAAACCCCATCTGAGTCTGAGGGACACTGGTAAATAGTGGGACGGCTGTGTATTGAGAGGTAACAGCTGGGACCATGAGGAGATGCTGCAGGTCTGCCATGCTACAGTGGTGACAGTGAGGCTAAAGCAGCGGGGTTCCTCTCCACTGAGCTTCCCCACCCCTCCTGCAGCACAACTGCTCAGTCTTCCCTGGCATCACATGCTCTCCCTGCGGCCTCCTCGCAGCTGCCATGACCTCGGAAAGGCTTTGTTCAGACATGGGTCTGTTCCTCTGCCAGCCCGATGCAGTTTCCTTACTTGCCTCCAGCTCCAGGGCATTTATTTTCTCTTAAAGCACTCCTAGAAATGAAGGCTGTGGCCTTTCCCTCACTAGCCAGCCACCCCCATTTCCTGTACTGCAAAAACAAAATAAGATTCACTGCTAAACGAGCAAATATTGGTGACTTGGTGACTGTAGCAGACACTTGTGTATACCGGACTCAGTGCTGCTCCACACAGTGCTGTGTGCCTCTTCTTAGATCTCTTTGGTGCTCACTTTCTTGTTTTTTTCAGCTGTTTCCTTTAAGATGCAAGAAAAATAATCATTATGGAAACGTTATAAATTTGATGGCATTTGTCTGGGCCTCCAGACTTTCTGTAGCATGTAGTATCAACAGACACATTATTATACTGGATTATAGTTGTTAACTTGTCTGGCTCCTCTTTGGATGATTAACAACATGGCATGGTCATGTAGACTCTGTCTAATGAATTGGAAGCTGACCCTATATGAACTCCTATGAATGAAGCAAATCAGATATTATCATCCCAATGTTAAGGATAAATAAAAGAAAACAAAAGGAAGATGCTTTGACTCTAAGTCCCACAGAACTGTTAAGAGCAATAGGTTCTAGAGGCAGACTGTCTGGGCTTGAATTTGTTCAACTTTCCCAGTGTCCTTGGGCGTATTGTAAAATCTGTGTCTCAATGTCTTCAACTGTAGTAACATGGGGGCAGTACAGTACCGGTTCTTATCACAGTGCCTGACATATTCCTCCAGAGAAGAGAGAAAAATGGCCAGTAAGGATGTAGCATCATTAGTCATTAGAGAAATTAAAACGAAAACCACGAGAGACTACCACATGCCCAATAGGTCAGGTAAAATAATAATAGCACCAAACGGTGGTGTAGATGTGAAGAAAATGGAGAACACTGGTGAGGATCTACAATAAATGGTATTTGGAAAACAGCCTGGCAGCACCTCAGAGGTTAAATACAGAGTTACCGTATGACCAGCAATTCTATTCCTAGGCAGATAGGAGAACTGAAAAATGTATGTCCACATAGAAACTTCTACAATAATGTTCATGGCAGCGTCATTCACCAGAGCCCAAACCAGAATAACCTAAATATCCATCAACTGTCAAACAAATAAATACACAAAATGGTATGTGGAATGGTATTCAGCCATACGAGGAATGAAGTAGATTCATGCTGCAAGGATGATCCATTAAAACATTATGCTAAGTACAAGAATCAGACAGGAAAGGATCATTCTATGTGGCATCTCAGAACAGGCACATTTATAGAGTCAGAAAGTAGATTAGCAATCAACAAGAGCAGAGGGAAAGAAAAATGGGAGTGACTTCTACTGGGCATGGAGTTTCTTTTAGGGAGCCAAAAATGTTCTGGAATTAGATAGTGGGGGCAGTTGATAATCTTACTATGTAGACCAGTCTGGCCTTGAACTCACAGAGATCCGCCTGCCTCTGCCTCCCAAGTCCTGGGATGGCCACCACACCCAGCTAATAATTTCGTATTTTAAAAGATGAATTTTATGATACGTGAATTCTACTTCAATTTTAAAAATGAGCTAGGGCTGGGTGTGGTGGCACACGCCTTTAATCCCAGTACTCCAGAGGCAGAGGCAGGTAGATCTCTGTGAGATCAAGGCCAGGCTGGTCTACATAGCAAGTTCTAGGCCAGCAGTGGCTACAGGGAAACCCTGTCTCAAAATTTTTTTTTAAAAAGAAAAGAAAAAGGGAAAGCAAAGCAAAGACAAGAACAGAACAGACCTAGGAAATCATACTGAGAGTGGCAGCTGGCCTTTGGCAGACATGCTTAGTACTATACAGGACTCCACACCCAGCTGCCTTGCACTGAGGTTTCTCAGTGGCTTGACTTCTTACTGCCCACACCTGCATTTCTGCCTCAGGGCTTTCTCTGGTTTCGGGAGTGTACTCTGCTCACACAGGCTGGTGGACCGACAGGCCAGGAACTATTTCCTGGTGGAACCCTCCAACAGTGGCTGGTGGAATGTTTTGTAGAGATACCCCAGCTCCTTCCTTCCTCCAGCGCAGTAACTCTTCCTATAGTTTCCCAACAGGATTAAAATGCACCTGTACATGGTGGGACATGCCTAAACATATAACCTTTGCCTAATTCTTTCCTTGAAACATCTCTCTGCTGTTTCCTGGACTGCTTCCCACATAAATAACTGCTACTCGAGACTCGAGTCCTTGCCTCAGTGTCTGCTTCTGAGGGAATGCCCACCAACAGAAAAAAAAAAAACAAAAAAAAACTACTGGAATTCACTCTGCACTGTCTATGAGTCCACGATAACTTCTCCATCTTGGATGAAAGGGTTTCTATAAAGTTGGTTTTCTTTTTGATTGGCAGAGGGGTGGGGTTGAACTCATTTGGATACTCAAGACTGGTGAAATTGGGAAAATCAAGACTAGAAGCTTCTGCTCAAACTGACATGAGATTTCTATCGGACAATGACAATACATATAAGGAATGATCAATAAATATAAGCAAGTACAATATTTTACTTGCATTAAAATATTTTACTTCAGCAGTTTAGTGGTTTTTATTACCATTACATTCCCTGAAAAGTAGGTTAGGATTGTGGCTGGGCCTGGTCTATAAACAGGTAATGCAAGGTGCATACTGTTAAAATCACATAAGCTAGCAAAAGTCACGCTAGGGATCCAGTATTTCTCCAAACCATCATTCAAAGAATGCTTTCTTCCAGGAGATCTCCAACTCACTGACATAAAGCCTGAACAGAATTCTTGTTTATTATCTTCTTGGTCTCTGGAAAGGAGGGTCTTTGTCAATCACAGGTTGTTCTCGAGCTAGATGGACATTAACTTAAATTCACCCTGCTGTGGTCCAATCCCACTTATTTCATTCCTGAGTGTTGGCTACATACCTGTGCTGAGTGTGAGGGTAACAAGATGAGCAATCCATAGACTCTGCTCTAAGGAGTGCCTGGTGTTGGGGCCTGGGCTTTCAACACTGGGCACACAGGAAGCACTAACAGGTCTTCAGACCATACTCATTTGCAAATTAGCACCTGGCTGATTTCTACTTAAGCAGCCAATCAGCAAGTTGTGATCTACACTTGCTGGGGCCAGCTGTCCTTTTTGAGGACTCCTACAGGGAACTGTCTGCATTAGTTTGATAGTGTAGGTGAAGTGACATCATTTGGGATCTGCTGTGTTGAACAAAGTGGGTCTCCTGGGGCAATGGACAGTGTGTGAGTGGTGTTCCGAGCCTGGTGGCAACAGCAGTACTTGAACCAGCACTGTGGCTGCTACTCACCTGGTGCTTTTGGAGCTCCTGGACATATCTGGTCATCTCTTCCTCTGGGTGGGTCTGGGCCCCCTTCTGATTCTTTCCTGTAAGAGAACCAAAGCTCAGAGTAGCAGTAGCTGTGGAAACCCAATGAGGAATCTGCCTTACAAACTCTCCCATTTAACCTGTGCAAGGAGAGTAGTATTGCCCACATTTCTCTGAGTGCGAAGGATTCAAGGTAATATACTATGAACAATCTATCCCAAACTTCCTCTGGCTTCTGTTCTGTTCCAAGTTTCTCCTTTAAGCCACACCCACAAGACCAGCTAGTCCCATGGAAAATGCTTTGATGAAAATCTGGGTGCCGGCTCAGGAAATTCCTCTGGGGCAGTGATTCTCAACCATTCACACACCCTCACAATGTCCTAGAGAACACTGAAAAATGTAATTTCTGGCTCAGGATGTAGTTCAGTGATAAGAGTGCTTGCTTAACATGCACAAACCCCTGTGTCTTAATCTCCTAGCAGTACAAACAGATACATTTAAATTGCCTAGCTTTCATCTGCAGAGATTCTGATTTAATTGATGGTAGGTGGGAGGGTAGCTGGGTACGACTGTATTTTTTTAAAGGCTCTTTAGGTAGTTCTGTACAGCCAGGGTTGGTAACTACTACATCTAATAAGTATTTCTTAGGTTTACAGATAAAGAAAAGCAAGCAAACAAAAACTACACAAGTTTTCAAGCTCTTCTTTTTGCAGATCCCAATTTAGGTTTGCGATGGTACCCAGGAATCTGCTTATTAAATTTACCATTAGAAACACTGGATACAGCCATCACTTTGCCCCTCATAGCAACTTCCCTTGGCCCTGTCTTCATTTAGTTGCATTGTCTCAATGTCCCTGTTTGTTCTAAGACAACATCACTAGGTTTTGGGTGCTGGCCTAAAAATACCTCTTCAATTTCCTCTTTGATCAAAGGCCTTTACACCAATTTACATCAAGACATACTGAGGCCCCAGGGCCCTGTGCTGCTCTTTATATACACATAGAACTCTGAACTTCCTGGGATGGAGGGTGTGGAGTCCACAGCTTTGTGGCTATGGGAATGGATGAAGTCCCATGGAGGGTGATAACTTGGATTTTGTTTGTGTTTATATCCAGATCATCATGCTTAGGGCTCCATAAATCAGCTGCACATTGATTCCTGCATCTTAGAAATGGAAGACTTCCTTTACAAAGCCAGAACAAGAGCAATTAGATATAAGGAGGGGGAGTTCAGGGAAGACATGCTTAGGATGTTTACTGGTTGAGGCAGGCTTGGCCAGTGTTTAAGATGCCCTCTGATGGCTTTAGTAGTTACTGTATGTGTGTCTGGCTATCCCACAAATACGTATTTCCTGTAACTTCTAGAAAATTCAGCTTTCAAAACAGTGTCTTCCTGCTCTCTCAGCTATTTCTATGGTTGGGCTGGCCACATATTCTCCCACACGGAAGCAGACATGGTCCTGAGCAGTGACAGGCTACTGGTTTCCACTTACACTATTGGTAGTCCCTGGGCTCCTTCCTCATCTAGAATGCTTTCATGGGTCCTTGACTGCTGCTTTTCAGTCATTATCTTACCTGATCTTCCTGAATACAATTTTAGATACCGACCTTTTCCTGCCAACTTCTTAGAATATAACTTTAGGTCTAACTTTTAAACCTTGTTCTAACCAATATTTCCTTTCACACGTGATGTGACTCCCTTTCTAGAACTGTCTTCAACAATCTTCTCTGCTTTGCTTCTATCTGTTATTCGCTTGAGCTTGGCTTCCATGTAAGGCCCGCTTGATCGCTGGCATCACTGTAGCTCAGGTCCCTGATGGGAAGCTAGTGATTCCAACATATTCTTCAGCCTCTGCCCTGCCTCCCTAACTCGGACATCTTTATCTCCCTAACCCACCCTGACCATGTCTCAATTATCTTAACTTTATTTTTATAAAATTTGTTTTAGGATTACTCAATTCTATTATTTGAAAGATAGTCTTAAGATTTTTTCCTACTAGGTATGGCAGTTAGTCATTTTGATTTCCAAATTTATATGCAGTATTTCCATAAGAATTATGGAAATTCTAAAGTGCCATAAGGATTATGTAGGCTAATATTCAAAAGGCGGAAAAAAGAGCCTGACAAATCAGTGTTTTCTCACAAATCAGTGTTTTCTCTCATGCTGATTATTCCAGTCTCATATCAACATTTCCTCATGCCCTAGGTTATAGTCCTCTGTTGTTTGAGGCCTCTGGAGTGATTTTTACACTAACACCTCTGGAACAAGTGCTTCACCCACAATGCTGTTCCCGGATCTGCAGCTTCCAATCACTGGCCTTTTCCCCAACATCTCCACATTAAATTCTCTCATTCAAGTCACAACACTGCTCCTGCCTTTTGCCTGAGGCACAGCTCACCGTCACAGGTCATGGCTGTGCAGACCCAGTTTCCACAGGCACAGACACAGCGGTTACAGTCCACCTCGGTCTCAGCTCCATCTGCATACGTTTCATCCTCCAGGGCACACTCTGTTGGATCATAAATACAGGACACAGTTTGAATGTGAGGTGGAACAGGGTGTTTTGGGTACAATCTAGGCATCTACATGTCCCCTTTCCTGAACAAGACCTGCTTTGTCTCTCATAGGCACCATGTCTAGGCAAATGCCCAGTGAACTCATGGACTTTAACCTCATCATGAAGATGAGAAGCTGACAACCAGGCCAGAATCATGGTTGGAGGTGTGTTCAATTAGCTCTGGGGAATTCTATCACTTCCTTCCATCTTGCACCCCCTGTCCCCAATGCTTCCATCCCCAACAACTCTCAATTCTAGACTAGGCGCACTCTTCTCAGGAGGGTTGAAAGACGGGTTGAGGCACTTGAGGAACTCTTGGAAGCTGAGTTTCCAGTCTGCGTTCTCATCAGACAATTCAATGAGAGCATCGACACAGAGACCTCTGAAAGAAAACACAGGAGAAACACCATCAGCAAGTCCTCAGCTCCTTCCTAAGAAGGGAAGTGAGCATCAGGCTCATACACCTGGGGCTTGAGGCAAGATGACTTCACTGAAAGTGTTTATTTCTACATTGACCTGTCACACCATTATGCACAGTTAATCCCGTAAACATCTAACCTTTAGTTTATTAAGCTGGATATCAGATTACATGAGCTGTTCAAATGTTCCCTTCAAGACGACTAAAGTTTTGTATATAATTTTGCCTACCTTGATTAACAAATGCTCTCACTACATGCACACCTTCCTCTAGTGATTGCCTTTTCTTGTGCAACTATCAAGTCAAGCAGACCAGAACAATCAAAACAGATATGACAGATAACATGAAAAAGAATATAAGGGTTGAAAGAACTGAGATTTTTTTCGAGAATCTGCATTATCACGATTCTAGAAAGAACTCTTTAAGAAAAGTTTCACAGAACCTCAGCTCCATCATCCCCACTATTGACTAAGACATGAGCCCTGGCTTAACCACTTCCTACCCAAATGGCCTTGAGCTGGTTATTCAATCTTTCTGAGTCTATTTTCTTACATACAAAGGTAGGGGAAAGGTATTATCTAAATGCAGATTACCAAAATATGAAAGATTTGCTATACCTTAATGTCATGGACATTATTAAAAAAGAATCATAGAAGCTGTACTTTGAACTTCTTTTGAACAACAGAGAGGTGCTTTTTCCATGTTTAATTCTTACTGATGTACTGGAGCCACACCAGAAAGAAGGTTCTTAATTTAACATTTATTCTAAGATAATATCAGAAAAGAAGGACAGATGCTTGTAATAGGACAATCTACATGAGACAGCACTAATCATCTCAAACATCAGAACTGAAGCAATTTAGACCTAGAATTAGAGAACACATTAATATTACTCCTTCAGAAAATTAGCCAGTAGAACATCAATTGTACCACTCAAAAACAACTTGGGTGTAACATGACCTTGACAATTTATTCCGCCTTTAATCCCAGCACTTGGGAGTCAGAGGTAGGCGGATCGCTGTGAGCTCAAGGCCAGCCTGGTCTACATAGTAAGTTCCAGGACAGCTGGGGCTACAGGGAGACCTTGTCTCAAATAGACCAAAAAAAAAAAAAAAAAAAAGTACATTCTTTTGGGTTGGGGATTTAGCTCAGTGGTAGAGTGCTTGCCTAGCAAGCGCAAGGCCCTGGGTTCAGTCCTCAGCTCCGAAAAAAGGAAAAAAAAATAAATAAATAAAAGTACATTCTTTTTTCCTTGCAAGTTCTGAGCCAAAACAGTAACTACTTGGTAAGGTATCAGTGTTGCTATGCCCCATTTATAATGCTCCCAGAATAAATCCCACTTCTCTGTTTATTCCCCAGTGGCACTGGCAGCTCATTACACAGGAAGGGGTTCAAATCCCTTCTCATGGGCAGCTTCCACTCAGGGCCCAAGCCCAAGCCCTCACTCCTCACTCAAGTGTGCAACCTCCTCTCAGGACCCAGGTTCTAGCCCTCACTCCTTACCTGAGCAGCTTGTTGTTCTGCTGGTCAGCATAGGTGGTGATGTTGACGGCAGTTTCATTCTGCTCCACAAATTTCAGGAACTCACTGGAGTCCAGGTGAGAATCGCCATTGTCAAAGTTCTAGGAAGTGCATGAAGAGATTCAGGAGTTTAAAGAGCTCCTGTTCCACTGATGCCCTTTCAGCCTCACCCTTCAGTTCACACTATTCTTGATACATTTTAACCCTGTCCCAGCTTGGCCTTAATGAACTACTTATCATTTTGGCTCAAATAACGAGGCACAAAGACAAGGCAGTGGTGATTCAAGATGATCAGGTGAAAGTTGCCTGGACAAATGACTTTTCTTTTTTAGTATTGTTTATTTATTTATTATTTTTATTTTTTGTGTATGCATGTATTGCCTGCATGTAGAAAAGTGCACCGATGTTGTGCAATGCTCACGGAGAACAGAAGAGGCTGTCAGATCCCCTGGAACTGGAGTTATGGACAGTTGTTAGCTGCCATGTGGGTGCTGGGATTCGAACCCGGGTCTTCTGCAAGAACCAGTGTTCTTAACTGCTAAGCCATCTCTCCAGCCCCAACAAATGACTTTTCAATATGCTCCTGTTCAGTTCTCCTTTCATGACTACCGTGTGTCACATATTCTGTAGTTGTAAAATTTCCATGGCATACACAATGACAAGTATACATAAAACAGTATCACTCTTGTTCTGATCCCCAGAACAGGACTCAGATATTCTGTATGTACAGAATTTGCCCTGAGGAAATTTCCCTATAGTTCACTTGTAAAGTTGTGACTAGTTAGTTCAACACGTGTAATTAAATAAGCTTGGTCAGGGAGCATTCTGAGAACCAAAGATCTTTCTAGAATCAAAGTGTTGATTGTGGGGCAACTCTGTCATCTGGGCCTGATGACAGAGTGGGTGTAGGGAGGGGAATAGCCTTGTGCTGACCGCAGACCCACTCCCTGGGCACTCTGGACTTGGCACTACAGTTTAGCTGGCCCTAAAAGGCAGTACTGTGTGCTCACGCTTCAACGATCGCAGAGACCAGAATACAGGTCTGAAACTAAGGGGACATTTCAGCTCTTGACAGTCTCTTCTGGTACCTGCCCCAGAAACAGCATGAAACGCCCTTGGGGTCTCAGTCTTGGACTTAGCCAACCAGCTGCAAAGGCACAATACCTCCGCAGGCCTGTACCTGCAGCTCTATATCACATAGCAACGTTTTTCTCTTTGATGGTAGGATTGTAGAAAGGTAGAAAGATGAATGCATGCTTGGGAACTGTCCTTGTAAGCCCACACAGAGGACCTGGGTCAAATCAGGCACTCATTCACATACAGTCTCTGGGGTAATGGGGTATGTCACGCTAGTCAGGGAGGTAAGAAGGCTGGCTCCAGTTTCTTCCCATCTTCCAACAGCTTCCCCGTGGTGTCTGTCAGAAAGTGTGAGTGGAAAGGGCATGAAAAGCTCTTCAGTCTGGTATGAGTTTGCCAAAGAAGCAGTGATTGAACCATTTGTAGAGGGGAAGGGCAATTTTGACCTTACTCAAATTCTGATTACATTTGCCTCTTGACTGTTTGATGGGAGGAATGACAGCTGGGCTGGAGAGATAGTCTCTGGCTCACTGAAGTTTCTTTGAGACATGAGATCTCTCACCTACACGCAATTGTAGACCTAGTAGAAGGTACATCTCCCTCAGCTGCCTTGGAAGAGGAACTTTGTGTTTCTAAGGTATGATCAAACTTTTTTAGTTGGAAGAATTATCTAGAGAAAAACTGCAACTTTTTTGTTAGGAGCCTGCAAGAGTGTTACTGTTAGGGGATGTGCTGAGTGGCAATGTGGGTACTCTGGAATCAAATCTAGTAGCAGGTATCAGAGATGCCTGAGGCCAAGTGCCATCTATAAATGGTTACATGGTCCCAAGTGGCCTGTTGGTAGAAGTGTCCTGTGCTCCAGAGGTCCATGCCTTAAGCACAGGGTTAGTGCCTGCTTGCTACAGACACCACTCACTTGGCTTTGGAAAAAAACCATTTCTTTAAAAATTTTTTTTAAAATTACATTTATTTATTTATGGTGTATGCGTGTATGTGTGTGTATGGAGAGGTATGGGTGTGTGTGTGCACGTGTCACAGAAGATAACTTTCAGGAGTTGGTTCTCACCTTCCACCACATGGGTCTTGGGAATTGAACTCAATTGTCAGATTTGGCAGCAAGTGTCCTTACCTACTGCTGAGCCATTTCACTGGCCAAAGTCATTTTAAATTATTTTCTGCTCCTGTCCAATCTTCCTGCTCTGCAAAGTGATGTATTTTTCTGTAGAAGAGTACTCCTGCTGTGAGTATTGTCTGTGGGAGTGGCCGAGACACAGGGGAGAGCAAAAGAGCTGTTTTCTTACCCAGTGTAATCTCAAAAACTAGGAATCCAGAGACATTCTCTGCCACAGGGGAGGGAAACTTCTATCTAGTAACACAAGAGAAATCTTAAATGATCAAATATTCATTTCAACCCAATCTAGCATCTCTTTCTTTGTGGGCATCTCTAATACCAGTTAGAAGAACCCACAAACTAGGCTGGTGCTGAGCATGCTGGGTAGCCTGAGAGCAGGCAAGAAGCCCCTTAGCTAGTTAGGTGCTGGGACAGCAGGCTCTGGGAGCACACATGAGGGTGAGCATCCAAGGCAATGACTTTGAGATCTGTATCTGAACATGCAGGGCTTGGCCCTTATGGGGCAATGGGACCTACATGTGTGTCTGAGTGTAAGAAGTGGCTCTGTGTGATGGCACCTACGTGTGTGGTTTGTGTGTGTCTGGCATGTTGCAGGTGTGTGTCTATGCTTCTGAGTGTGGTGCTCCTGTGTGTCTGTATTCTTGTCAATCAGCTAGAAGAATGCCCTTAACCACTTCTTCCAATGACTCTCAAGCTTCTTGAATGAGCTCCATGTATGGTGTCCATACCTACTGCTAAATACTTTTTCCTTACTCATTTTCCTTTTTTAAAGCACCATTTTTCTGGGCCCCTAATGGAACTCTGTCACTTCAGCTATATACGATGGACAGCTACACTGCTGGGATTCAGAACAATCTCCAGACCCACAGTGCTCATTGACTGTTCTCAGGTGAAGAAGCTCTCAAAGTTAGTGACTTGAGAAACAGCAAGCAGGGAGAAAAATGCTGAAGTGCTGGGTCTGGCATAGCAGGAGGTGCTTTGATCAGCTTCAGAAGTGTTGCAAGGGCAGGAGAGGGAGCCTAGATGCATTTCTCATGACAGCCTCATGAAGGCTTTTGTGATTTTAAACCCTTCAACAGAACAGGACCTGCATGTTGAGTCCCAAAGGTCAACTGTTGGCCTCCAACTGATCAAACAGATTACAAGGCAAGTTTCACAGCTTCATGAAATGACTTATGATGAAGACGCATTTAAGAACTCTAAGGAGCTCTATTGTCTCCTGGTAGTTAGGAAATGGGAGGACAAGGTCTCCCCTTCTCTAGGACTGAACACTCTTGACCTCAACTCTGATTACCTTAAAGTACTTGTCTAGGATCTCACTGTAGTTGCTGCCTTTAGAGAACCAGCCATCTGGAATGATCTCAGCTTCCAGCCATTGGATGATGCGGCGTCGGAGCTCATCACGGTTGGCCTGATAGCAAACAACTACAGGGGAGAGAGGGATGTCAGGTGAGTGGGCAGAGGAGGACCCCAGGGTCATTAGCACCCACTATCTGGAGTCCACTGCCACTTCTATATCATCCCATTCAATCTTCACAGCATCCAGGGGGACAGAACCATTACACCCAGGATGCAAAACTGTAAACACAGGAGTCAAGTGCACATGTGTAAAATATCCATAAAGACTGTGGACGTTCAAACAATGCTGAAACGGAGGGAAATTGCTACTTAAGTAAGAAAAAAAGGAATAAAAATAAAGGATTTTTCATGAACTTTAGAGAGCTGAGGAGAAAATAATATCAATCACCAGAGCAGGTCTCTTGGCTCTAAGATAAGCTGAAATAATTAATATTCAATAAATGAGAATACCATAATTATGCCACTGGGTTTCTTTCTGTCTCACTAAATGGACTTTTCAAAACTTTCTCCGATCACCCTTTATTAGAAACAACAGAAAACAAGGCTAAGGAAGGGCCGTATTAAGGTCTGCTCTGGGTAGCTGCTGGAAAGCCCCATGGAAGCAACATGTGGGAGTTGGGTGGATGGGGAAGCAGGGCAGAGAAAGCTCAGACAGAATGGAGTTCCTAGCCCCTGGAAGACGACACATGCTGGGACATGAAAAGGACACAGGGCCAGAGGGATGAACACAGGCATTTCCACTTTGCCTTTCCTAGCTGTGTGACACAGAAGAACTCACTTAACTCTCTGAGTCTTAAATTTTCTCATCTCCGAGGTAGTTACAATGAGGCCTGCAAAGTGACTGTGAGATCTGGGATTAAAAATCATGTTGGAAATTTTATACATATTAATAGAAAGCCACAGAAGCAGGTGCACTAGTGTTTTTAACTATTCTCTTTCAAAAGAGTTGTGCCTTCTACTGGGCTCAAGACATGAGCATGGCTTTCAGGGCCCTGAAGGAAAGCTGAGTGACTATCCCTGCAGTGCAGTCGCTACTCAGCAAACATGGAAAACAGCTAACATTCAGACCGAATAGGTGCTCTGACTGGCAAACACCAAAAAGAACAGATTAATTAATTAATTGATTTAAAATGTAGTTGTGTAGTCTTTTTTTCTGAGCTGTGTTGAGCTCAGACCGAAAAAACAAAAGGCTAAAAGTAAATCAAAAGTCCTGAGTCAAAGAAGATCTTGTGAGGGCAGCAGGACTGTGGGAGACAAGATGCTCCTGCCATGAAAAGACTCCTCCCTAAGATGCCTGCACAGTGCAGAATGGCCAGTCACTCACCTGGGCTGGCAGATGGACTCACAGATTTCTTCTCTGTAAGACAAAAGGAGAAAACGTATACTGTAAAATAAAGAGTAAAAGAACATGTCTGTGTATTTCTAGGCTTGCAATCTTTTCATCATGTTGCCTTGAATTCTTATCTCCTTTTCTTTCTTGTAGGGTCTAAGGGTGGGGATCCTTCCTGCTTAAGGACAGTAATTGCCCTTCTGGATTTACATATCTTCCTGGCAGGTCAAGCAGTCCCTGAGATATTGATTATTTCATATGAACATTTAGCTCAGGGAATGGAGAGGAGACCTACATCTGGGATCCAGTTTCTTGTTTTCCACAGGAAGTCAAGGCTGGGAGGGCTGGAAGTGGGGATTCTTTCCACCCAACCTGGATGGCAATGATTAGAGTGAAAAGTAAAGCATAATATTACTAGGGCTGAGAAGTACCCAGATTTAAAAAGCAGAAAAAGGAGACATTTACCTACTTTTTCTAAAAGGAATAGAATTCCTTTAAGGACTTTCTTACTATCCTTGATTATTTATGTAGTTACCTTAGCTACTCTCCACATGCAAATGATGTTGGCAGCACCCCAGGATCTGATGCAAGAAACCCACAGGTCCCAGCCAGCTAGGCAAACCCAGCAGGCTTATGGATGTCAGGAGGGAGCATCTCCAACTAGCAAGGTGCTCCACAGCTTGGTGAAATGGTTGTGTGATCAGCCAGGCTTTCCCACGGCAAGAGCTGCCCTGCAGTGATGATGGCATGCCTTACCTTTGCAGTGTCCATCATAATCGACCTGGATCTTGGATCCAGTGAGGCAGGCATCTCGGTGCAGTTCACAGTGGTTGAGGTAGGTTTTGCCATTACTGCCACACACAGGCCTCTTGTGAGGTTTGCATTGCTGAAACAGACCCGCAAGAGGATGTTTGTGCAGGCAAGGATGCCAACACTTGAGGACGCATGCACACAGATGCACGCACTCCTGCACATGCATGAACACATATGCACATACCCATGCACACATCCATCTTGTCAGGGGACTCCCCACCAACAGAGATGGAGCCTGTATACTGGCAGGACACATAGAACCTCAGCTCATGTCATCAGTGATCTGCTTGATACAGGAGGCACTGCACTGCCTCCTGTTTACCAAGGTCATCTGTCTGTCCATCCTGGTCCAGTGTCATTCCTCCAGTAATCAAACACCTTACTGTGGCTGAAACATTTGTATCTTCCTCACAACTTGTGTTGGAACTTAACCCCTAATGCAATGGCATAAATAGACTAGACTTTCAGGAGGGAATGAAGTCATCGGGACTCCTTCCTCATGAATAGAATTAAAGTCTTTATAAAAGAGATTTCACAAAGCATTTGGCCCTTTGGCCTGTCTGTCTTTTGCCATGTGAGAATAGTGTTCAAGGGTCATTTGCAAGTGGAGTCTAGGCCTTCACCAGACATCAAATCTATTTGTTAATCTTACACATCACAGCCTCCACAACTGTGAGATGTACAATGATTTACAAATTGCTCAGCTCAGGCATTCTCTCATAGAAACACAAATGGAATAATCCAACATTCTATGATACAAAATACAAAAAGAGCTGAAAGCTGGGAATTTGCAGACTCATATGCATGTACATATGATCTGTCTATCTTTCTCTCTGTCTCTCTCTTTCTCTCTCTCTCCCCCCTTCTCTGTGTGCCTGTCTCTCTCATTCTTCCAGAGCTTACCAATTACAAGGATTTCTTGTTCTCTGTTGTATTTGGGAGGCATTTTGCTTTTGAACTAATTTCATAACTGCTGTTGTGAAGGCTGATGGGTGAATGACTACAGGAAATCATTATGGACAGGAATATGGAATAAAGTTCATCTCGTACGTAGGCTTGACTGTGGCTACTGGAGGTACCAAGGTCATAGGCAAGCTGTTTCTTCAGACTTCTGCAGTCTTTAAAAGGGTATTTGCAAAAGGATGTTATTGTTGCAGTTGCAAACAACTCAAGGAACTGTTTAAACGTTCATCTCTGAGGCAATGATTGGATAAAGGTGCACTGCTAAATATTTTGGGGCTATTTAAAATGAGTTAAAAGCCTATGCTGGTCTAGAATGCTTCCACAACATTCTTGAAGAGTGTAGAGTAGAGACTGCATAGACCTATGTCTACAAACAATACATTCTTATTCTGAACAAAACTGAGGAAACTTTATTGTTTATATTAGTATAGAAAAGTTAACTCCAGTTACCTCAGACTAATGGGATTGGAAGTTGTTCAGTTTGTACAAATATCTAAATACCAATTACCACTTGACATATAAAGCAATTTGTAATTTTAAAATTATTATTTAATTTTATGTGTAGTAACACAATACAGTTTACATATTAAATAACACTATAATAAAGTGATTTGATGTAGGTTTTTGTTGTTGTTGGTTTTTTTTTAGGGTCTTACTATGTAGCCCCAGTTGGCCTGGAACTCACTATGTAGACCAGGCTGGCTTTGAACTCACAGAAATTTTCCTGCCTCTGTCTCTGGAGTGCTGGGATTAAAGGTACGCACTACCATGCCTGGTGATTTGATGCAGTTTTAGACAGAAAGAAGAAAAAAGGGCAAAATTTCAGGTTACAAAATTGCTCTTCCTAGAACATTTTTTTAATAAATCACTTTTTCGGGCCTGGAGAGATGGCTCAGTGGTTAAGAATACTGACTGTTCTTGCAGAAGACCCGGGTTCAA